ATTCAACATTTATTCTTTTGTCAGTATTTTAGACAAAAAAAAAGTATTTTATTCATGGTTTGCTAATTTTTTTTGAAGACTTATTAAAAAAATTTATTTTTTGATTAATAATTTTTAAAAATTAAATTTTAAATTAAAATTTATATTTATATAAGTAATGTATGTCAATTTTTAGATTAATCAAATAAACTTAATTAATACGTTAATTATATAAAATTTAACACCGTTAAATGCACATATCAGTTCATAGTTTTTTTTTTTTAATTAAAGGATTATAAATGTTAAATTAACATAAAAATTAATATGTAATATCTATATAAATAAAATTTTTAATATAGTGATTAATTTTTAAAAATATTAATTAAAATATAAATTTTTAAATAAAATTTTAAAAAAAATTTAAGAAAATAACTTGTAGTACACTAACACATTTTGGATACATAAATAACTGAGGATTTTAGATCCTTTCCATCAACCACCATTAAGGTCTGTTAATTTTTTGTTTTTTGGTCAAGTCCAACCGGTTAACACAACTTTGTTCAATTGGTAAAATATGCAAATAAGCCCTTCAAATAATTTTCACAGACAGATAAGCATTTAGTAATTTTCACCTCGCCAGAACATGGAAGACAAGTGGGAATGGCAATTAGAGAAAGATGTGATTTATTCGACAAAGTCTACTTACCAATATCCAACACACTCTAAGCCCCAAAGGGAGGAAGGAATATTCAAAACGTGGTGGAATGCTTTGGTAGCTAAGAAAGTATGTGCCCTTATGTGGGAATTTCTACTGAGTAAAGGATCAGTTGATTGCTAGAGAAATTATTAAATGTTGAAGATGGTGGTCCATGCGAGGAGTGTGGAGAACATGAGGAAAATGTTGATTACTTGTTATTAACTTGTCCTGTAATTTTAAAGCTACAGTTAAAGTTCTTTAACTGGTGGGATGTATCATATAAAACTTTATATGATAGGGTTAAAATTTTTAAGTTATTAATAATTTTATCTCGATAAAAAAATATCTTTAAAAATAAAATTTTAAAATTTTTTAATATATAATTTAATATAAAACTACTATTATTATTTTAGAACATATTTATTTATTTTATTTTAAATATATATTATTTAATTCAAATATAATTATAGTAACTACTCACTAATTTAAATATTTAAAGATCAATAATAAAATCATTTGGTTCAAGTCCAACACTTTGGAACTTAAAAAATGCGTCTAATATATTTTAAGCCTTTATTTATATAAAGTACTAATAAGTTATATATTTTTTTTAAGCAATGTGAAATTAAGTATTTCCTTATATATGCACTTGGGCCTTCGTCACTGGACTCAGTGACATCAAACCACGTTTAAGTGCATCTTTTTTCTTTGAGCAACGGTTTGAATCTAACCTCTTACAAAATTATTTAAAAAAATATTTTCTTATATATAGTACTAGAAGGCTTTGCTTTTTATTCTTGAGCAATGTGAAAATTTTTTATTTCAAAATTTCACTCATGTATCGATAGAAGAATAAAAAATCCTATCAATGGAAATCGCGTAAAAACTCATCAAATTAAATACAAACATTCCATAGGTCTAAAATCCGATCAGACAATGTGAAATTACAGACCTTGCTCCTTGCTTTGATCCAATGCATTGCCCTCGCTTGAATGAGCTCTACTACCTTTCCTTCCTCAATAGCTTTGCCATTAAAAAGCCTTTCATTCCTTGCCAGCCAAAGGGACCATACCACTGCAGCCCACAACATATCCCGTGCCTCTCTTAGTTTATTGTCATTTAGTACACTAGAGTGTTGCACAAAAGCCTCCCAGCATGATCTTGGCAAAGCATTGTAAGTGGCCCACCATTTCCGGCATTTAACCCAAACATTACAAGCTATCCCACAGTGTACAAGCACATGATTTGTGTCTTCCAATCCTTCGCCACGAGCATCACAAACAGCTAATTCCGCATCATCTATAATACCTCTTTTAACAAGATTAAACCTCGTCGGAATCCTATGTTGTACTGCTTGCTATATTCTGATTGTTTATTTCTCAAGTTCAATTGTAGATTAATTGTGACAATTTTCTTTTTTTTTTTTTTTTTTTTTTTTTTTCAAATCCTTCAAACAATCACAAAATATATATACCGCTTCAAATTGTAATTGTTACAAATGAAATAATTTAGTTGTAAGTAAAATTCAGCATTTGTAACAAAAATCAATAATTTGTGTGACGATTTTCATTGTAACAAATTTACATTGTTTATTGTGACGAATTTTTTGTGACCAAATATAAGTTTTGTATTGAAATTTTATATTCCAATTTTGAAAATCAATATTAGAGACTAGTATCTTAAATTAGTTACAAATGTAAAAGATATTAGTGATAAACTAAAAATTAATTACTATTTTCAATCAAAAAAAAAAAAAAACTCATTTTCTTGTAGTATCAGTTAATACCTTAATTGTTTCAATTAGTATCAAAGACATTACCTCTCATAGTTATAAGCACATGTTGGTCATTAGGATAGGTGGTAGTGTAAAGCTCTCACAATTATAAGCACATACTGGTGCTATCATAATTAGTAGCAATGAGAATTTCACATCACTAATTATTAGCTTAACATTTTCAGATTAAAATCCATAGACCTTCAAAAATACAAA